CACAGGAGAGAAGTTGTGTGTTACTACAGCCCTAGTTTGCGCCTAGACAGCATACTCTCAACAGCATACTGTACTTACTTTCTAATAAGGCAATGATTAATTAAATATTTAGATTTATCAGAGTCATCTCTAAGAATTCTGTTATTAGTGACCAAAGTTGCATTACTTTAAGTCATAAAATAAAAACAATCTTAGGTAATTACTGTTTTATTATCTAACTTTTTTTCAGTCCCATGGGAGATATTACAGTACCAGAGAGTTCCCTGAACAGCCCACAAACTCAATGTAAGCAGGCAATTGAAGGAGCAAATAAAATAAATTCTTATCCTTGCAGCTGTGTAAAAAAAACACCTTTAATAAAAAAGAAGTTAATAGCATTGCAGCTGAAACACCCTTAACTTGATTATTTTGATGTTTAATTTAATGAGCTTAAAGCCTCCAGTCTTACTGCTTTTAATTGCACTTTCTTTTATTGCTCATTGTTGAAGATATATAGGGCATTATAAAGCTTTAAGGAGTAAAGCTTATTTTCTCCAGCAATCCTTCAGTATATTTCTAACTTCAATTACTGTAGATGAAGAAAACTCTTAAAGAAATCATTTATGCAGGAAAATTAAATATCTTTAAGATTTCTATTTCTGATATTATGCATCATCAGGAATGTTAAAGTCAGTATTTCAGTCAGACAAGTGTTTAAGAAATCAACTGAATGTTATTAAATTAATAAATTAAGCCATTTACAAAATGAAAGTAAAAGAAAGGACAGTTACTGTCAAGACAAACTATGAAATGCAGTTTAGCTTTGGGATTGAAGTGACTTTTAACTAATATATTTGTTTACATAGAGCAAAGCAGGTCTCCAAAAAATCAAACCATGTTGTCTAAACCAATTCCCTTGGATGCTTTAAGAAAAGACTGGACGAGATCCTAAGATCAATGAAATACTAGAAGCCAAATAAATAAGATGAGCTGAAAAGGTTACTCATTGGAGTAATGTGCAGTATTTTTTATGCCCTGACACTTACTAATTATTGATGAATTGCCCATTAATAACATAGTTTTAGCATATCTATTAGTAATATGTTAAAAATAATCAGGTAAATCTTCTGTATACGTGTCTTGGTGTTATGTATTCTATTTCGCGTTTTTATGTTCATTGGTAAAAAGTGCAACAGGGAATAACGAAGGAAAAATTCTGATGCTCCCAAAATACGGCTAAACCTAAACCGAAAAGAAGATGCTATAGAAAGTGGTTACAGCTGTTTAGCTCCTGAACATCATTTTGAAAGTAATTGATTCATGTTTTCCTGGATGCGTTGTTGATCTGATTCACTGAGTCATTCAGCTCAAGGAGATGCATTGAGCATCAAGCCAAGTGAGTCAACATACTGTGGGATATGATTCAGTTGCAATCTCGTAGCTCAGGGAATGATGAGAGAAACGTGGTAACTGTGGGTCTATGTGCACAGCATGTATTCATTATTGTATATTTGAATGCAAATATGCCCTAGTGTAGGTAAATAACATTATTTTATGTTGCTGTTTTGTTAGCTTTCTATTACTGTATCATTCTATGCTAATGATACAATATATCAGCTATCCTTATCTGATAACATTGTTTTGATGTGACTGGAAATAAGAACTTACAATTTGCCATACAGTCTGACTGCTGTATTTGCTATCATTTTCCCATGAATAATTACCATTGTTTTGTGATTTTTAATAATTAATCAAAATCTACATTTGATGTTACTATGTTTTTCTCACCTTGGTTTTTCTATAACAGGTTTATTATAAATGAGTATAATGAAATGAGTGCTGCTTGTCAATATTTTTGTTCATCATGTACGTTCTGTTTTTTGCCTGGCAAAAGACAACTGTTTTCCAAAAACAGGCTAAGCTCACATCAACTCAACTGTCTACACATTATGATATTTTCTCTTGCATTTTCAACAAAATATAACCTACTGTAGTTTCTGAAACCAAGTGGCTTTTAGTGTTGAAGAATGAAAACTGCCAATACTATCACTTTTGCATGAATTATTTTCGGTAATTATTCCTTCTATGACTCATACCTGTCCCAGAGGTGCTGTTTCATTCAGGAAAAATTTTGAACTACAGCATACGAATACATCTTTTGAATTGACTCACTTAACTAGAGTGAATCAAGTGAGTTGATTCACTAAAAAGAATCAAGCTACCGAGCTTTAGAAGTAGCTAACTCTTGACCTCGGGGTCAAATGACATTTTTTAAGCAGGGAGTTTTCTCCACACCTGTAGGCTGGATCTTCCATCATGGAGGAATTCAACAGGCTCTGAGGGGGTGACGTCACCTTCTGTAACATACTTGGAGTCAAATGAGTCCTAATGCACCAGATTTGTTCCAGATTTGTACAGGCTCATTTGTTTGCTTCTTTTGAATTACACTGGTTGTTTTCTTCACTGTTTGCCTGGAGTGTCTGACGTGCAGAATCACAAATTTGTGCCTGCCCTGCTCCTGTGTCCCATTAGTAAGTAGTCCATAAAAAAATGATTTTCTCCCCAAAATGAACCAAGTCACGGTTTAGTGAAGCAAACTGGATTATTCTGATGGGCTAAAATAGTTATGTCCAAGTAAAAAAACAAAATCCAGCCACAAACTAAAGTCAAGGTGACGACTGAGTAGTTTACATTCCATCCAGTATCATATAAATATTCCAAAAAGAAGATTAGTGTAGATAAATGTTTCATAGAAAAATAAAAATAACTCTGGACAGCTTCCTTAAATTGCTTTTCAAAATCACTTCAAAAATGTCTCCATCCGATTTAATAAGCGCATTACAAATCTCTAAATTGTTGCTTCAAATATCTGTGTGAACGACTGGAATTTTAATTCGTGTATGATTTATTTATTACAATGCCTTCACAAACACACTAATACAACTTTAAAAATCCTGGTTAGAATTATTTATGTCCCAGGCTCTTGCAGATTAGGTTAAAGCTAAATAAACCCAATCTAATGAAAGTAGTAATCTTCAGAGCAGCATTAAATGATATAGCAACACAGTGAATGCATTACTTACTCCTGACCCCAACTCCCCAGAGGTAATCCAGCACCTTGCAAATGAACCCCCCATTCTAAGATGTCCCTTTTAATTGAATTACAATTTAATTGAATTGATGTATACATGTGTATACTAAAATGGAATACTTTTGGAGGTGAAGGAACTTAAACGTCTAGGAAAACTTCAAAGAAAAATCAAAAAGTAAAATATACTGATTGCATAAGTATTCACAACCTTTTCCATAGCAAACCTGAATTATTTCAGGTGCAAAATATTATGTTGACAAGTCATGCAATTACTGTAGGTGAATGGCCTGCATCTGTGTGCATTGGTAAGGGCAGTCACTGTGAGGCCAACAGTGGCTTTGACAGAGACGCAGAGTCCAATGGCTGAGATGTGAGAAAATGGCCACGAATTTCCAGTCATTCCACAAAGCTGACACGCACTGTGTGGCTGAATGGGAAAACCATCTCAAATCCCATTTAAACATTTATGTTATACGTGTACTGCTGGGATGTTGCAAAAGGTTTTGCGGTCAGTCGTGCTGTAATTGGAACTTTTTAGTCTAAATGAAAAGGTCAAAACCATCACTGTTGACATTGCGTGGTGGTGGAAGAATTATGGGACTCATCAGGAGCTGGACAGTGTGTCAAGCTTGTCATGCAGTACTTAGAGAAAAAACAGTTTCAGTCTGCTAAAGACTTAAAACTGGGGCAATAATTCACTTTTCAGCAGGACAATGACCCAAAGCCCAAGGCCAGAGCTACAGTACACTGGAACAGCATAACAAGAAGAAAGTGAATGCCCGTAGGTGGCCCAGTAAAAGCCCTGATATAAATCCAAGTGGAAATCTGTGGGAAGATGTGAAAATTGTTGTCCATCAGCACTACCCAACCAATTTAACAAGAGTTTGAGCGAGTTTGCAAAGGAGAATGGGACAATCCCAGTGTGCAAAGTGAAACTTTTTTATCCAAAAAGACTCGTATAATTGCTGCCAAAGCTGCTTCTATCATGTATGTAGGGCAAATACTTACGCAAC